CGCAGGCTGTGCATGCCTCGCAGATTCGGGGTCACCATGCTTCCGCCCTTCTGCTCAGGCTTGTCCGAAGTAGGCTGGGCTTTGCCTCTAGGTCCCCTGTGTGGTGGTCTCCGGTGGCCACGCGCCTTCCCTCTTCCGGGTTTTACTTTCCGTGACTCCGCTGCGGAAATGTTTCTCTTCAGCTCTAAGTGCGCTTCCTTTCAAGGACTTAGCACTACTGCCCGGAAATGACTATTAGTAAAAGGTAGTTGCTTTTCCCGAAGGGAGTCATTACTAAACTGAGATGGAAAAGACATTCAAGGCCCCCTTTAATACCTGTCTCGAGTACCCAGGGTATGCCTTGAATTTTGGTGTTCCTTCAGTAAATAGGTGTTAAAATGATTAAGACGTGTTCCTACTTGAGCAAAGCACTTTTAATTTTGTTTCAGACCGTTCCAGTTTTTTAAAAAAGATTTACACAAGGAGTAATGTTCATTCCAGTCGTAGTTAGCTTTTACTAAAACTACCTAAGCTGCAGGCATGCCACTTTTTAGTGAAGGCTGAAGTCAGTGTTTGCCAGCAAAGCAGAAGGTCCTAGACTTCAAATACTTAGATAATGCATCACCTAAGGCCACTTTTGCCTTTTAAAAAGCATCTTTTAAAGCCATGTCTTGCAGTCCTATCCCATGCCTGCAATCTCAGGCCCTACTGAAATGGTGGAAGTAGTGTCTACTCTTGAGTGCCGTAGCCTGCCAAGTATCTTGACAGAGTTTGAGACACCTGGATGAATTTGGTTTTCTTTATGTAACCACCTTGGCCTGGTGCTAAATTTAAAAGAAGACAATCAAAGGTGCCCCAATTGCCAGCACATGCTGTGTGGCAGGAAAAAGGAATACTAGTAGAACACTAGGTTCATTTCGTTTTTACTCATGAGGAAACAATATCACACAGTGATTTGCCGAAGATGAACTGGAGTTGAGTCCCTGATTGTTTTTGCATAAGTAGGCTAGGCATCTCTTAAGAACAGAGTTTCTAATCATTTTTATTGTATGTGTATGAGTGTATTGCCTGCATGTGTAAAAGAGCACCCATGTCATGCAGTGCCCATGGAGGTTAGAAGGGCGTTGGATTCTCCTGGAACTGGAGTTAGGAACTATTTATAGCCACCATGGGATGCTGGGACTCAAACCCCGTTCTCTGTAAGAATAGCCAATGCTCGTTACTGCTGAGCCGTCTTCCTAGTCCTTTGCTTTAAAACTTTAGATTAGTAATCACTTCTCTAGGACCCCTGGTTTCTGACCCATCAACCCAGCTGAGTCTCTTCTTACTCATCATTTCATGGTTTTTGTCTTTCTGTCTAATGCTCCAGGTTGAGTTTTCTTGAGTGCAGAGGCAGAGGCTTGATTTGTTCTTTGTCCCCTCCATAGGGATTGATAGGCTAGGGTGTTATATGCTTATTGATTGACCAGATACTATCTTCTTTCCCTCCTTATTCTAGATCTGGAATGAAGTTTCAATGACCAAGGAACTGTGGAGGTGAGTGAAGAAATAGCCAAGGGTGGCCCTGCACTGGAAGTGGTTTCCAAGTGCTGTCTGCATTTCTGGCTGTGTTGAGAATTATCCCTGGTCCTTAGTACCAGGAAACTACTTTATGGTTAGTAGCATGAGACTTTCAAATAGAAGATGATATGGATAGGATTACCAAACTCAACCAGCTACATTCATTTCCTGAGTGTTTCTGCCAGTATACTCAAATTACTTGAAAAAAGAAAACAGGGCCCATTATATAGCCAGGGTAGCCTTAAACATGCCTTGTAGCCCAGGCTAGCCTTGAACTTGTGATCCTCCTGCTTCTTTCTCTTTTTCACTTAAAAAGTGCTGGCTTTTTAAGCATGTGTCACCATGTCCAAGTCAAATTACTTTGATGGTACAACAGCGTAACAATAAGAGCATGTGTGTTAGATTGCATAAAATGAAAAAAAACAATCACAGTTGAAAATAGAAATATTTAATCATTAAATTTCTAAATCTTTCTAATTCATTGCTCCTTTAAAACCCAGTTTCTCTTGTACTGAGATAAAACTATCAGAAGCTGGTGGGTATTAGGAGGTGCAGAGTTGAGTTCTCTTTTGATATAGAACAGTCTTGCCTGTTGGCTAGGAGTAATAGTTTGGCCATACCTGATGGACAGCAGCTGTTCAAACATAGAGCTTCTTCAAAAGCTGAAGGAAGTCTTTTATTGAATTTAATTAAATTATTTATTTATTTGGGTTTTTTTTTTCATTTTATGTACATGAATGTATTGCCTGCATATATGTAAGTGCACCATGTCATGCAATGCAATGCAATGCCATGCCCTTGGAGGACAGAAGAGGGCCTTGGGTTCCCCTGGAACTGGAGTTATGGATGGTTGTTATTTGTCATGTAGGTGCTGGAAATCAAACCTGGATCCTCTGTAAGAGCAGCCAGTGGTCTTAACTGCTGAGCCATTTCTATGGCCCTTATTTTGGGTTTTTGAGATAAGGTCTTCCTGTAGTCCCAGCCAGCCTGGAACTTGCTGTGTAGACCAAGCTGGCCTTAATTTCACAGAGATCTGCCTGCTTCTGCCCCCTGAGTGCCAGGCTTAAAGGTGTTGCCCATCATACCCAGCTTCCTTTTATTTTTAAGATAGCTATGACAGTCCAGAATTCTAAGTTATTTCAAAGAATCTTACCACTTTTAGCTTTCAGTGTTATCCAGTATTGCTCTATATGTTGGTTTTTATTAGCTTTTGTCACTATATTAATTAGAAGAATAACCTCTTTGGTCAGTTTTAAAGTAAGAGAACTTTCATTTGAATTCCTTTATACTTTGAAGAATTGACTGTTTTTGAAGGTAATTGTGTTACCAAGCATGGTACTTAAAGAAATTGAGTGAATGAATGGACTGACTGGTCCAGTGTAGCTATTCATGAAGCCTTAGAGCATGCATGTGTGAGGGGGTGGAGCACCAATCCCAACCGGAGTCTCTGTTGATAGCAAAGTGTCCTGAGTGAAATACTGTTTTTGAGATGTTAGAAAAATGTTCTTTTCATATCCACAGAATGTCATGATCCTTGTGTTTGTGTTTTTCTTGTTTTCTCCTCTTTTTCTGGTGTAACATCTCATGATTTTTCAATGTTGGTAGCTGTTTCATGTGAGCCGGTCCTATTCAGGCCAAACAAAATAAGTGAGTGGTCCTTTCTGTCCAAGGCTGGTCAGGATGCTTTTCCTGGTAGAGCAGAGAGTCAGAGAGTACACTGAGCCTTTATCCCACGTGGGCACTATAGTCCTTTGTACAGGTACTTGGTATACGCTGAGTCTAATATGTAGGTGTTCAGTGAGTGTACAAATTACGATGGTAGAGACATTTGTGGTGATAGTGGTCTTTAAACAATGGAACTGTGAATCAGTTATCTGACTGCATTCTCCCCTTTCTGAAATAATGAGTGCTAGACAGCAGCCAGAGGATGCACATTAGCTATGGTTGAAAGCCACCCTCCATAAGGTGTCCACCAGGCGTTTCTCTCCAGAAGTCCATCTTCTTTGTACTGAACTCCCATAGCACCATAGCTGTATTTCTATACAACCCAGGCTGCCTCGGAGACATACTGTGTGGCCCAGGCTGGCTCAAACTCAACAGTTCTCTTGCCTTGGTTTCCCAAGAGCTGGGGCTACAGGTGTGCACCTTCATGCTAGCTTTATAAAATCTCATTTGATGGACATACAATGTATGAAAATGTAATTTATGGCAAATAATGGTACAAACGATGTAGGAGCAAATGTTTTACATAATATTCAAAATTGATTCTGTATTAATCAAAAGTAAATCTTCATTTATCAAAAATACAAATTATGTTTAAAAAAATTTTTATTATTTTTATTTTATGAGTATGATTCTATTGCATGCATGTATGTGAATGCAAGCACCCGTGTCGTGAAATGCCTCGGAGGTCAGAAGAGGGTGTCGGATTCCCCTGGAACTGGAGTTAAGGACTGTTTGTAGCTGCCATGTGGGTGCTGGGAACCAAATCTGGGTCCTCTGCAAGTGCAGTCAACACTCTCTGACTACTGAGTCATCTCTCCAGACCCACAAATTATAATTCTTTTTATTTTATTTTATTTTATTTTATTTTATTTTGTTTTTTATTTAATAACTGTCTCTGTGTAGCCCCAGCTGGCTTGGAACTCACAGAGATCTACCTGCCTCTCCCTCCCAAGTGCTAGAGCTAATGGTGTGTGGCACCATGCCCAGATCATTGTAGCTGATTTAAACTTTTTTCTAAATTGTCTAAAATTTCTGTCATGGGCTCAGATATAGTTCAGTTGGTAGAGTGCTTGCTTAGCAGGAACAAAACCCTGGGTTCAACCTCCAGCACTTTAAAAACTGGGGGTGGTGGCAGAGGCCTGTAGTCCCAACAGTTGGGAGGTAGAGGCAGGAGGATCAGAAGTTCAAGGTCATCCTCGGCTATATAGAGAGTTCCAAGTTAGCCTGGGCTACATGAGACCCT